CTGCAGTCTTTCTGTTCGTACACTTTCTAGGGAAGTATGAAAGTTCAGAAGATAAGATGTATTTTAATGTTCATGTACTGTCTATACAGTCGCAAATATTTCCTGTACTCAGCAATTAAAAAATCCAAAATTAAACTTTTATGTTTGCTCCGGAATTTTCAATAGAGAAGTCGAATTTGAAAAAAATTTAAAAACGAAAGAATACCAGACCAGGGGTGATAATTTTAGCATATGAACAAATTTACATAAGTGTTTTTTATTTTTTTTAGAATAGTTATAAAAAAAGGGTTATAAAAAAATCTACCATATTCTAGCATATTTGTATCATACTGGTTTTCTTATAAAAAGTTGATTAGATGGGTATATTGACCAACACTTATTGGCTATACCTTAAAGGGTATTGAAACTGATCTCTTTTTCCTAACTTTTTTTGTTTTGCTCTTTTTGTGATTGACAGCAACAACATACCGAAGCTGACAAATAACAAAACGTGAAAATCAGAGAGCGAAAAAAATAAAAAAAATTAAACAATTTCTCAAAACATTTAAAAATAGTGCGCAAATTGCTATTTTTATTATAGGCGGAAAAAAGAGAATGCAAAACAAAAACAAAACAAATGCGACACAAGACTCGCAGTCAATCAATTCTGCGAGAGGAGAGACAGAGAGGGCACGAAAGCTTATCACTTGGGTTCTCCGCTCGTTCCTCTCTGTTACTCTCTTACATCGGTAGTCTTTTACACACGTGAATTATTTTGTTTTGTTTCTTCTCTTCTCTGCGTCCTCTAATTGCATTCTATCGTCGTCCGTTTTGTTTTGTTATTGTTTTCTGTTTTTTCTTACCTTCTCTCTCTCTCTCTGTATTCCTCTCTCTATCTCTTTCCGATTTTGTTATTGATCGCTTTTGTGCATTGCACATTATCGCCTTGTTTGTATTTGTTGCCATTTTTCTTACAAAATAAAAAACAACAACAATTTTGCGGCGAACGTAAACACATTTTTTAATTGCGTTTCGGTTTTTAAGCTCTCATTTTTAAATTCTTCTCTAAGTAAAAAAATTTACGAAATACATACAAAATAACGAAGTTGTAAAAGATGTTCTAAACTTAAAATAGTATCTTAATTTTCACTTCACTTAGTGTTTTAGTATAATAATATAATATAATTTTAAACTTTAAATTTATAAAATATCCAGTAATGGTAATTAACGAATTGCAGTTTTACATTTTAAACAATTTTAGCTAAATTTCCACAACTTACCAAAGCAGAACAACATAAATATTATTTCTTCCAATTGTTAAAAGATTTGTCTAATAATATTTTACTTCCTTTGAAATGGTATTTTACATTACATATAAAATGTATCCCGAATTCTACATGACTGCTTGGTTTCTTCAAAGCAAGCAGTTCATTGCTCTTATAGTTTTAGAGTAATTGTTTCAGGCTAACTTTCAAGTTCACTGCTTGCTATTGTAGTTGTAGAGCAACTGTTCCTTGCTAAATATTTAAATATAAACTGCTTAAAGCAGTTGTTAGGTTTGAAAGAAATTAAGTCGACAAAGCGGTTTTTATTTAAACATGTGTAAGGCGCCCTCTAACGGAATTATTATGTACTTCAAAAATTGGAAAGCAGTGCAAAGCAAGTAGTTCATTGCAAAATTTGAATTCTAAAAAACGTTACTATTAAGATTATACAAAAATTAATTTAAAATTTTCTATCGTAGCCAATTACTAAATCCCACTTTCTTTTATTTTCAGGTAAGCAAGAAAACTGATAAAACGTGTTATTGCCTTTGTGTGTATGTGAGTAGTACTATATCAACCTTTTTCCCAACCACACATTTAATAAACATGCATTATTTCTCGTTTTCAATCAACCTATCTGATTTTATCACTGTCTCTGTCTTGCCATTTAATGCATTTAAATAATTTATTCATGCATCAAAAAACTAACTTGTAAATAAAACTAGCCTAGAAAAACACAATGTAAAATGTCAGTTATGGTTTAATCCTGTGCGCACGACAACCGTTTGGAATTCTGTTACTCCAAGAAAATAATTACTGGACCACTACTTAAAAATATCCACTGGGTGCTATCCGTTAAAAATGTTTTTAAACCAAATACAGATTTAAATATTTAAAATGCAATTTGTGTGGAATCGAAATTTTAATAGAAACCAAATTTTTATTAAGAAAATTAAAATTATTACAGTTGATTGTTTATTCGATTTCTGATTAGGTGAATAAAAATTTGTTAAGTAAATAATTGTAATTTGTACAAAATATTTTATGGTCACATTTTTTTAGTCAATCTGTTTTTATTATTATTGAAATATTATTTTCTTGGATCAGAAGTAGATCTGTAATCATTAGAAATCGAAAGAATTCCAAATCGAGTGCCATGCGGATACTTGTAGTTTAGTTTTTGGTGTTGACTCCTCTCTTTCTACCCCCGTCTAACCCCTTTCGCGCTTACGCAATCCTTTCTGCTGTCCTTTCAAGCTAATTGTGCTGTCAAATCAAACTGCCGAATTGCGAATAAAAACTGCAACATTGGAAATCAAATTACGTAAATAGAAACGAATGAAAGACAATTCGCAAATAAATTTGGCTTGGCTTGGCGGTAAAAGTGGTCAAAAGCAGAAAACAGCAGCGGCGAGCGATGAAAATTCGCAGATAAACTGCGAAAACAAAACGGCAGAGCGATTAATTTCCCCCCTTTTCCACCGAAATTTTCCTTTGAGCTGACTGAAAATTTCTTTTCAACGATTTTTTGTTGTCTTATCTCTGATCGCAGTTTTCGAGGCTCCCGTTTTGGAATTCTCTCTGCAGTTTTCTTTCAACTCTAGCTCCATTCACCTAATTTTGTTCAACAACAAATGCTTGTTTTCCACTATTTTTTTTGTTTTTTGAAACTTTTATTTCCTTGTTGGCTTTGGGGCGACATACTGAACAACAACAAAGCGGGAAAACACAATGGTAAATGAAAATGGCAGTGGTGGGGGAAAATGCTGCATGTAATGTGCATTTAATTTGCTGCTGCAACAACAATGCAGCCGCAATTTTCCATAGTTTTCAATGGGGTCGTTTCTTTTTTTGTGTGTTACCCATTTTGTGTTGTTCATTTTATGCTAATTTTGCTACTTTGCCATTATGCAACCTGCAAGTGGTGAAAGAAAGGACGATGACAACCCAGTTGCCAGGATGACACTGGTTTTTTCAAGAGGATGACTCAAGACAAAAGGAGAAAGTATCAAGTGTTAGGGAGTGAAAACAATGTGAAGTAATTAATTTATATTGGCGGAAGGAGATTTATTGAAAATTAAAAAAATGGGTAAGACCTCCTTGTTCCCAAGCGAGTCAACAACATTTTCCATTATAAAAAAACTGAAAAAATATTGCTTTTTAATTTTACTTATCATCTTTTTACAACTTTTATTTGTTGTGCTAATTTCCTCAGGCAAATAAAGACTTGCTCTCCAAAGAGTTACATTTTTGTAAAGTGGAGCACATAAAAAAGTTTTCCGAAACTTGAAATTAACAATTAAAATCGTAGCAGGAAAATCAAAAAAATAAACAGAGCTGTAAAAGAAAAACTTTTGCTGCAGTCGAAAAAAACAGAAAACCACAAACCCTAAAGCAAAGGAAAAAACAGACATGTGAGCCCCATTTTATTCCACTGAGTATAAGCCAAAAACCACTGGAGGAAAATTGAAAAAAAAAGAAGAAAATTGCTGCTGGACTGCAGCTAAATGTAGTTGTTTTTGCTATTTTTGGGATAGCCTAGACTTCTTTTTAATATTCTTCTTATTTTTCGCACTTAATTGGTTTTAGTTTATTCTGATTTTTATTTTTAGCAATACTAATGTGAAATTAGACCTTTGGGCTTCTTTTCTGTATGATAAGTTTAAAGGAGAAATCATCTTTTTGCATGCCTTGTTGCATTTAAATTATGCACTTGGCTGTAGAAAGAAAATCAACCTGACTTTGTAAAACGGAAATATGTTCTTCGCTCTCAAAGAAAGTTGTCGTCACTTTGTAACAGATCAAACAATTTCAAAAGGAAATGTTCGTTTTTACCCTATTTAAGGAGATTAATTTGCCACAACGTAATTGACAAATTTCTGCACTTCCCCCGTTTTTCTTTTTGGATTTTGTCAGTTTCATTTGCGATGCATAAATTGCATGTGGCATGCCACATCCATCATCTGCGGCAGCAGCTAAATTCGATGTTGCATCCTCGGCAGTTGGATGTTGTTTATGCTGAGAATTGGAGCGCATCGACACGTTGCCGCAAATGTTGCATCATAATTTTCCTTGTTGCTGTTGTGCTGGCAAATGATGTGGAAATTGAATGTGCTCCCCTTGTTGGCTGCAGTCGCATTTAGTTTCCTTTCTGATTCTTATATATATTTATTCAGCAAATATGGGCAATGAAAATAAAAACAATAATAATTTTAATAAATTATACAGAACAAAACAAACAATTTAACATAAATCATGTCATTTATTTTTATGTTAAAAATAATATTCATAATGATCCAAAACATACAAAACAAACTTTATTGGCAGTTAAAACCAATGATAAAATTCAAAGCCAATTATAGCACTCAAACTGATTCATTTCAAGTTACAAAAACCGAAAACCTTAAAAAGGCAGTCTAATCTGGCTATATCAACCCATAAGATTAGCTCACCCAAACAATTTGCCACCGATCACAGTTCACTTCGAATCGCAACTTGATCACTTCATTGCAGCAACACCAAATCGACTTTTGTTGCCTGGCACCAAATCCCCTCCTATCCCAACCCAAACAAAATTATAGAAATTATATTATAGTTTCGATTGGCGAACCGAAAAGAAAACTTGCAAATCTAATGAAATCTATATATCTAAAGCTTCTTCCAACCTATCTTATGCCTCTAAACCTTTTATTTTTTATTTAAACTGCGTGCGACCCTTTGCTTTGCCAACACCCAAAATCCAAATGAAAAATGCAGCTTTAGAACCGCTACGATGATCCCAGGTGGAAGTCGGAAACGGGCCTTTAGTAATCCGCACATAGGAGGGCCCAACGATCCGACATTCGTGCACCGACTGAACCCCCAGCTGTACTACTACAACAAGTCGCAGTCGGGGCGGAGTTCCTTCTGCGTGGACGAATCCCTGTGGCCCACCAACAATCCCAATGGCACGGCCAGCGAAACGAACTTGTACATGGGCTCGAGCACCGAGGAGGATTACGAGGAGGCCATAGATCAGTTCTCGCCCACGATATACACTCGGTCGGCCAGTCGAGCGATTCCCATACCCAGTAGTGCTGGCAACAGTCCACAGCACCATCCGCACTCGCAACCGAGGATTGCATCTGGCATTGCTTTAATGGGAGGAGGAGGAGGAGCAGGTGGACCTGTACCCACTGGGGCCTTTAGCGCCGGTCCCTCGATATACGCCTATCCGCACTCGCCCTTCTATGCCAGTTCGCCGGATACGTCGCTCTCCTCGCCGGTGCAGACTTCCGGATTGCCAGGACAGCATCCACACCCCGGCTCACGCATATCCTTCAGCTACGACCCTGCCTTCCAGCGCCTGCAAGTGCCGCTCATATCCGGCGATCGAAGACCCCGATCTCCGCTGGAATGCGCCACCGTTTTCGCAGCCGTCGCTGCGGCAGCCACCTGCGGTGGTGCGGTCGGTGGTGCAGGTGGTCCAGGTGGTGCGGCGGATACCACGATCAACAGGTCGGTGTGGGTCGATCACCCTTCCTTTCTTCCGGTTGCGGGCTCTAATCTCCATGTCTACTACTTGTCGCTTGATTTTGATCCTATTTCCGTGTCCCTTCCTGTGAATGCTTGGTGTTTCCTAACCGCTTGGCCTGTGGTGTTGCACGCTGAATGTTGTTCTGTACTTGGATTAAGTTCTTATGTGGTTTCGATTGCGGTGGTTCCTGATATAGTGCACGAGTGACCAAGGGCATCCCAGTGTATTCTTTTTAAAACACTGTTCCATAAAATGACTTTGGGACTGGTGAGGATTGTTATAATTCTAATAAATTAACACATACATTCCTAGAAACAAAGTCAGAATATAATAACCTTTTTTTAACGACCATAAAGAGATAAATTAACAAATGCTAACAGCTATGCCATGTGTATTATAATAACTAATGATATTTAAATTATAATTACTAAATCAAAGCAACATTAAAATAACAACATAATAAATCATACAAAATCTTGTTAGTGAAAAAGGTTCTTATGTATATAAAATGCATATCTGTCTAACTTTGATTTTCAGTGTTTTTAAATCGGCATGAATTAACTTTTAATTATTTTAAGCATGATCCTTTAACTAAAATTGATAGCTTTAACATTTTTTATTGTACATATTATTGGTAATAATTGAGAACACATACCTTAATTCAATGTTATGTCCCTTTATTGATGTGTTTTAAGTTTTTTATGTTAGAGTAATTTTGTTTCTGTGAAAATAACTATTGAGCTGTCCCCATTGGCATTTCCGATTTTAGCAAATTAAAAAAGGTTACAATAATATCCATCAGGAATTCGCCTTTAGCTTTCAATCACGTTGCGTCATCCCGCAGGTGATTCATGTGGCAATCACAAAATGCATCCTTTTCGTGGTCCAAGGCAATTTATAATCCAGTCGCGAGGCCCTTAGGTTCCTTCGTTTTCATTCCGCCTTTTGCTTAATTATAAAAACCAATCTGGCGGGAGGAAGGAAGCTTTCCCCGCCTCCCTCACCCAACTATTCAATCAACATTCAACGCATTTAAAAGTTGTGCGAATTTGTTCTTGGGTTTGGTTTTTGGTTTGGCTTTGACTTGGAATGATGTCATTCCTAAACTTGACTTCCCTTGTAATTCTTGCTTCGTGTTTCGTGCATTTATTCTCGATGATGATGGTGATGATGATGCGTTAGCATTTGCTGGCTCATAAGCAATAAAAAAGCAATTCCTTTGAGGTGGTGCCCTGGCCACAACGCAATTTCTCGCCAGCGAACTGCGCAAAAAGTGAAAAGGGTCTCTCGATAGTTCCCCATCCAGCCCGAAAAACAAAAATGGGGTCCCACAAAGGCGAGGCTTTGTTGGGGAATGGCGCACTAAATTAGGTATCCATGACAAGACAAGTTCACATGTTTTCGAGGGTCTGCCACCGCCTGATAAATAACATTTTATGTCGCACAAAAATCCTACAAATGTCAAAAATTCAGCCTTTACAATATGTTTTCCTCGAAAATTCCAAATAACGCAATTGTAAGAAATTTAAGTGAACTTCCTTTAAAATGGGAGATGATCATATTAGCTCGGAAAACTATTTGAAAGTATTAACACTCTAATAACCTTTAGTGACTCATATATGAATCACTTTTAGAGTTCAAAGATAGCGCTTCATGTGGCCTTATAAGGAGCGGGTATATTCGCGGGTGATTAATCGGGAAATTTTTTTGTACTTAAACTATGTTGAACGATTCCTGGTATTCCCCACACAAAATTAGCTTTTATATGGCGTAGGTTCAAGTCTATCTGTTTTTTGCTTTAACTTGGAAATAAAGATAACTTGGTACTGTCTTTTAATAGGTAATGATACTTGACGCAAGAGATTTAAAAGAAAGTATCTAGTATCAAAGTTAAAAATCGTTGCATCACACAGAATGTGGTAATAATTTTCGTAAGTTAAGAGTTTCTACCACCGATATATTAAATTTATACTTGGCTTACCATTAAATTAGATTTATAATGTAGCTGATTTAACTTGTAAGCTTTGTATCTTCTTAGAAAGAATTTCTAAGTAAAGTTCCAACAAAAGGTTTTTAAATATCTTGACTGGTACACCGTGCGTGTTTTTTCATCTGAAGTACAGCTCCGTCAAAAGGTTTTCAAGCATCTCCGTTTCTCTCCCCAAATGCAGTGCAAATGCACTCAAAAAGCGCACAAAATGATATTCTCCTTAAAAATAAAAATAAAAGATGTTCGTGCGCCGTCCAGAAACATTTTACTGGGGAGAGGACCGAACTGACTCAAGTTCAAGGTCAACAATCCCAGGGAACCGGGTGTTCCTTTAGTTTCCCCAGTACATTCGGAACATTTTTGGGGAGGGAGCCAAGAGCCAATGGAATGGAAGCTGCTGTCGACTCCCCGGCCCAATTAGAATTTCAATTAGGCATCATCTTGAACAACTTTGGCTTTATCTCACTCAAGAGAGGCAAATGAAACGTGGTGCTTGTTTGTGCCACTCTCCTTATCGAGAGGGTCTTCTCCTGACTTCCCCTGCCCCAAAACCAAAAGTGAGCTCGATTTTTGTGTGGCTGCGGCTGAATGGTTTGCTCGGGATGATGTCAGCATTTATTTTTGGCACAAAATGCTTGCAGCCAGCGGAGCAAAACACAATGGCCAAAAAAAAAGAGCAGACAACAAAAGCAAAACAAAACCGAAATCCCAAAAAATGAGAAAAACAAAGCAGAAGGCAACCAAAAAAGCCGCAAAACATGCCAAAAATAATATTCAAGTAAGGAAAATAAGAAACCAAAAAAAAACGAACCGCACACAAACAATTATCTTATGGAAATGGTTTAAGGAGTCGGGGTGATGAAGTGTAGGCCAGAGGCGAGTCTTTTATGGCCAAGAGTAATGTATGTTGGCCCAGAAGAGGTGGATATCTGTCTCGAAACGATTCTTCTTGTTTACTTTGCTGTCTGGCTTGAAGATTTCTCTCTTGTTCTTCTGGTCGATGGCTTTGTTTGGCTTTCGGGCCTGTCTAAGAGGAATTCTTCCCCTTTCTTCAGCTGCCTCCAAAGATCATTCTTCGTCTCCCACTTTTGTCTGCAAATATGACGATTTATTTATTGGTCTTTTTTCACAAGTATGTCTTGTCATGTCATTTCAAATTATGGCCTACTCGATGAGTCGTGGTTATTTATTTATTTCCATCTTTATATTTTATTTATTTAATTTATTGATTGCGCTTTGTTGTCTGGTTTTCGTGTATGTACACATGCAATAATCGTGTCTGATAAGTCTATATTTAGGCCTATTCAAAAAATGTTTATTCATCAATCAAATATTTATTTTTATTTCAGGTATGTTATGCAATATTTATGTTATTTCTATTGGGTGGTAAGCTAAAAATACATTTTGCACTTTCTCAAGCAAAGTATTCACCACCAATGTCAATGATTTGTGGGCTATGAAGGCCCAAAGGTTTTGCAAAACATTACCCGTCCAAATTAATTGGTTTAAAAGAAAATTACATTTTCTTTGTCACATTTGAATATTTTCCGTGCCAAATTTGAATATTTCGCAAAAGCTCACTATTAAAAACACATCAATCTCTGTTTAGTTAAATTATGCAGAAATCAGGAAATGGTGAATATTTTTCTCTAAAATGTGTAAGAAGGTCACACTAGCAAAGGTAAAACCTAAATACATAATAATTTTTTTTTACATTTGGTTTATATTTTTAAGTAGAAGTCCGGTTTATCAACTATACTTTGCGCCTGTGGTAACGTGGTTATCTTTTCCAATAGTTCATGAACTGTAATAACCATAAATCTAGGCCATAAGGAAGTGGTTGAGGAACTTTAACTGCCTAAGCCAACTCCACTGTCCATACTAATCGATGCGATTACATTAGCATTAACCGGGGACATATACATTGGGAATAGACATAGACATCGTTGAAATGTGTAGGAAGACAGGGGGACTTCGAAGACTAACGAGCAACAACAATGGCAACCGATGTCGACGCCGTCATGTCTGGCACATTCGCTCGTTCACTGGAAATCGTTAATTTAACACCCTTTTCCCCAGGCCCTCCCGCAAGCGAGGTGGGCCTCGAGCCAGCGACAAACCTACAGATACAGATATAGATACACTTTTCTTTATTTCATTTCACATAGCAAAGTGCGCCAAATTACATTTAAATGGCTGCCACTTTAAATGTCTATGGGCGGGCAGGGGAGAAACTATAGATCACGATGAAGGGTATTGTGGGGGAGAGAAGAAAGTTGGAACGGAAAGGGCTTTCTATTATTAAAATTGCCTATGCAGGGAAGAGTGGAAGGGATTGGAAAAATGCAACGACAAATGTGCAAATATACATTTTTAATAAAGAGCGAAATCTCTAGGATGTATTTCAAAATCCGTTAAGAGGGTTGTGCAAAATTTTCAAACTCAGCACAAAGTTTTAATTCCATAAAAAGTGTAGAGATTCAAACCCAAACCAGCACCTCAGACACAAAAGCCGGAATTTTACTAATTACAATCAAGATATAATTACTTAACAAAAATAGATTGCTAATTTACAACTTTCCAATTGCATTGTTAATCTCTTAAAGAAAAGTTAAGTAGCTATATGTTGATGCATATCGTTCGGGCGTGTCGAATATCTTTATTGCGGTTTCTTTTGAGGCTCTGGATATTGTCCGAGTCGATTAACGCTTTTCGTTTTAATTACTTTAATTGCCATTGGCTTTGTTTTCCACAGAATAATTCCCGATGAGAAACGGTTGCATAAACACAAAAATACAAACAGAACAGCACAAAGAGTGTGCGCAATTAAAGGAATTACTGGGCTTGGTCGCATCTTGATAGATTCCGATTGAACTTTAGAATTGATAATACTCGGACAGCTGCGACTTCGCATTCTGGTATGGCGTGAGCAGAATAATTCAGGGTTGGCAGGTGTCATCAGTCCAGGTGGGAGATAAAGACTGCAGCTTGTTTTGAAACGTCATTGATGCATTTGATTTAACGGTTGGGAGGGTTAGAACTATAGGAAAAATATGAAAGTCCCAGCAAATGCGGGCTATATATGACTTACAATGGAGAAACAACTACGCTAATTTAAAGAAGCAAATTTTATATTTTAACAGAGCTGGCATCATTGATCTTGGTATTCTGACAGTATTGGCATCACTGATTTTTTATCGGACTAATTGGCATCATTTTTCATATCCCCATCCTCCGATTATTGATTACAATTCCAAAAAAAAACCACCAAACTAGTAAATCCACTATTTGATTGCATTTCTGCCCGACTCTTGTTGCCGCATGAAAAGGCTGAAGTTTTAATTATTTTCCCTAGAACTGACAGCCACGTGGCCAATGTTAAACAGAAGCCGAATGTGAAACACAAACACAGACAGAAAGCAATTCTGCTCGCCATTTGGCCAGCCGCCTCTATTTGGCCAAGCTAATGAGCCGATAATGGTAGAGGGAAAAGGGGGAGCTAAGGTGAGACAGTTTAACCAGAAAATAAACCAAAATATACTGACGGTTGGCACATGGTTCGCTTCATTAGTTTACCCCACAGCCAAGACAAAGGCAACCGGCCACCAGCAACCTGAGATGGAAAGTGTGGGGGAGGAAAGCTGTTGGTCGACAACAGCGTTTTTAGAACGCTTAAGTTCATTATGGTCTCGGGTTACAAAAACACACGGAGAAAGACGTCAAGATATGGCTAATAACATGGCAGACATTCTGGCGGCACAAACAAACGGCGACAGTGAAATATGCGTCCAAAACAAACTGTTGAATAAGCCAAAGACAGGGACACAAGTTTTCACTTAATAGTCATTTTTGCATAATGCAAGGAAATTCTTATGAAACTCCGAGCCACGCAATGTTATGCTTGCAAAATGTGGAAAATAATGGAAGAGCGTGGCTTGAATTATGGTATATCAATTATTATGCAAACGTGCAAAGCGCAAGCTGGTGAAATTGTCAAAAGAATTTCGTATACACTTTCTTTTGAGAGACCTTTCTGTCTTTTGTATCAACAGGTTAGCCATTAAGTTTATATTACTTAATCGTATTTATTAAGTCGTAAAACCTGAAAGCTCACCCCCTTGGCGGTAATTTCTCGGTAGGCTACGTTCCGCCCACCAAGAAAAATCACAAAGCAGCCAAAGGAGGTCATGTCTTGCCCTCCAGTCATCGGCACAATCGCAAGCCTCATGACAAGCCCAAAATGCCCCAAGACAGGCGACTGCCATAGAGAAATAGAAAGAAAAACAACAGAAAGAAAAGTGTTGCCGCCCAGTTCGAATAATTGCATAGGCAAGTTCCCCCAGTCAATCCCAAAAAAAAGTGCAACAATCCAACCGGCGGCCACAAAAACGTCAAACTTCAAAGCAACTCCAACCGCAACAAAGAAAAACATGAGTATGGAAAACAAGCTGAAATTATGATTAGTTGTAATTTGATTTTAGCCAGCCTTTTGCCTTGCGGTTGCATTTTCCCCTCTGCCATTTTGCATTTAATTATGTGCGAAATTTGTGATTTTATGGGCAGCGATAAAAGCAACTTTGCCTGAATCCGAACAAAAGCATGAAGCAATGGCTTCAAATTGCTGTTTCGACTGGGAAATACTCTGTACTTTAATCATTATTTCAATAATATATTAAGAATCTAAATAAGATTTGGAGTTAATATTGATTTTGGATACGTTTTACTTGTTGTCTAGGGTTACCAAAATTGTTCTTCATGTTTAAATACTATACATATATAAAGTACCCCCTACTTTTACAGATACAGAGGGTAGCAAGGGAAAATAATATCTAAGAACGTGCCGCACTTTGGGATTCGAATCGTTCTCTCAACGCATACGATATTATTCGCTGCCTTTGCGATTTGTTGTTGTTGGGGAATTAGAGCAATGAACTGCGGCCACGTTGACTTGTCTCAGCCGGAACTATGAGTTCATAGTGCCCATTACGAGAAATGCAAAATACGAGAAGGCGAAAGGCCCAGGGACCACACTCGCATGCAGACAAACCGATTTGAGCACGAAATTGTACGGGTAAACATTCAAAATTTATAGCAACAACAATGGCTTTGCTCCTGCTAACTGCAGTCCTGCTGACCCACAAAAAGGGTCTCGTTCCGGAGGTGATTGCACTACAGTAGCACCACCCACTTTGTCCATGTCGAACACCCCACCGAACATTACAGAAATTGCCTTCGAGGGCCCACGGCACGCGATGTGTCTCAAATGTCTTTGCAGGCCTCTTTTCCACGAATTGTTGCATTTTAATGAAAATGCATTTGGTTTTCCCAAGCAGTCGTGCATAAATAAGTGTACCCCCAAAGCCAGTCAAAGTTTGCTAAAAATCAGACTAAGTAGACTTTACCCACTCATCAATGGGTCAATATTTGGTCTTATTCGGTTGAGCAAATAAAAGTCAGTCCATAATATTTGTCCATTTGCACAAAAGGCGACTGGAATGCCAGCAAAACAAAAGATAGCTAGGAAAAGATGAACTAAATATAAATCACACTTCATATTAAAAATGGGGTTACTTATAACTATTAAATTTTGAATTATTTTCTACTTTCAAACTATAATTTATCCGCACAAGAAGCACTAATATATTTCATATTTTGTCAAAAGAAATTTAAATATATACCTTTTTTACGGAAATAAATATAAGTTGAGATGATATTATTATAACATTTTGTCAATATTTAAATTAGTTACTCTTCTTGTGCCCTCCATTGTTCTTTAATTTGCTAAATAAGTTCAACGACACTCCAATCACGCAGACAGAAATCCGAAAGAGAAAACTACCTTGTTTACTTACAATCAGCCAAATAAAAATATTTATAATACGTCTACGAAAAAAGCCCTGGATGGACTGCGCTGGATTTTGTTTGTTTTAAAAATGTGTGTATAATTAATGGCTATGATTTACGCAGTGCTCTTCTGTTTCATTCATTATTTGCTTAAAAGTGTTTTATTTAACGAGTGATGACGCCGAGTGGATATACAAACGCAGACTACACGTGTAATTGTCTTTACACTTATTACGTTTTTGTGACAAACTTTCACTTTTTAACGAGTACTTGTTGAGTGATATTTTAATTCGAGTAAATTGTGTGAGCTTTTGCGATGTCCTCATCTATATTTAATAGGCTATATCCAACAGCTAGTTCTTGAAATAGATTTTTCTTCCGTTTTTTTATGAGAGCATTTGTAAATATTTGAGAGATAGAAAACACTCACATTTGTGAATGAATTTGTTGAGGTCATGTCCCAAATTAGCTCTTATCAATAACAGATACGAGTGAAGTAGAAGATAACCAGGTTTTTTATATATGACAGTTGGTCGGTTTTGAAATACATTCATTTACGGCGCACAATAACAGTGATAGATTTAATATACTGATATGAAGTGGAAGTTGGGCAACTCACGTTTTGGTAACTCAAGTTTGGGCAACACAGTACACACTTGGTTAGGTATTTTAATATTTTTTGCAGGAAAACATATAAATAAACTAGTTTATTGCGAGATTCAAATAATTGTAAAAACAATTTTCCATATAAATTGACCTGTAATGTTCCATCATATAGTCAGTCCCCCTCCTTTGTTTCTATATCGTTTGTAAACAACAACTTGGAATAAAGGCCGGGCAGCAGAGCGAAGCCAAGTAGATTTAATCACACGCAAAACTGGTTTATAAGGCTAAATTAATAACAGTCAACAATGGAATTATATATATATGCCAGTTAGACCTTGCCCACCTCGAAAAACCTTTGGTTCTCAGATGATTTCAAAGTTTATTTTCAAACTTAAAGCCTAATTAAAACTATATATATATAAAAGGTACGATTTCTTACATAATACAATCTTTAAAATACAATTAAATCACATTACACTTCAGTGTGGTCAACAAGCAAATAATGGGGGTAATGAAAACAACAAATCAAGCACATTTTAATAGGAATATGTTTGGGCGTCGCAAGAGGAATCTTTCGGTAATTTCCGCTGATTATTTGGGCACACTGCCAGCTGATGTTTCGCAATTTGTGTGCCCGTTCCGCCGTTTGTTTTACATACTTCCAACTAGATTACAGTCATGGCAACGAGCATGAGCAGCAGGATGAAGATCCCGGGGAAGATGAACATCAGGCAGGCGACTTCGAACATTTTGCTGCGGAGTCCTCCTTTTTCGATCTGCCAACTGTTGCTATCGCTTGCGATGCAGGACTTCTCACAGAGCTCTTTGTTTTGACTCAGGGTTTGGACCTGCTGCCATAACACACAGCACTCGGAAAAAGTCCAGAAGTTGTGGAAACACACACACAACAGGTACGGCGTTCGCTGTCACACTGAGCCAGTCGAATTCGAACCTTTCCTCGTGTTTGTCGACGATGTTGCTGATGGGCAGCGATGTGTTGCTGTTGCTGTCGTGCTGTTGCTGCTGCTGCTGCTGTCGCTCGTTTTCTTGTCGCTTCGGCTCTTTGTTTGGTTGTGCCGGTTTTGGTCTCTCCTCTCTCTCTCTCGGTCTCTCTCTCTCTCTTGCTCGTATCTCTCCCGCTTTTTTCGATCGGTCCAAGCTTTTGTTTGGCTTTGCCTATAGCTTACCTTTCGAGTTCCCCCTACATCGGAAAGCTTCTGACAATTGCATTTCAATTTCATTGACCCCACACATCAGCGTTTTGATTTCCCTTCTACTGCCTCGTTGTTTCCATTTTCCCTACTTTGACTGCGAGCTGTTCTTATCGTCTTCCCTTGGGTTATTATGAATAACCTGGATTTTCTCAGGTGAGCTTCGGTCTACCACGTGTTGTGCAACTGACAAAGTTGCGGATCAGTCTATAACCTCCAAAACTAGAACAAATTATAGAAAGGTTTTCTATGTAAATTATGTAAATGGAAAAACATTAATATTTAAAATATTAAAAATAAACATGGGGACACTCTTTAGTGCAATATAAAGTAATTTTTTAAGTATCCCTATGCTTATACACATATTAAACAATTTTTAAAATAACATTAATTTTATAGGAATTCAGAAAGTCAAGTGTTGTATTAAAAATTTATATTATTTAATATATTTTTTTAAGAGATAAGTTGAACTAAAGTGTTAAAAACTAAAATGTGTGATGTAATTTATTATTTGAAAATTGCATATTATTCACTGTCCAGTCAATTCCTCGCGATTCTGACCGATTAAGTGTATTAACGTTAGTTTTAAGGTACTAATATCCCATTCTTTATAAAGACAAACATTTTCCATGGCTTAATTCCATCTACTTAAAGCTAAAATCCTTTTTAAATGTTTTAACATACAAATCTCCCGTTTGTAGCCCACATAAATCATAATTAGAGTATCAATACCATGACTAGGTCAATTCTACCTTTCAAAGCTTTACTGGCCAGCTTTTCTGCTCTATAGTCGAAAAAAGACATATAGTTTGAGAGTGGAATTGATCGTGACCATCGAGGCGACCTTTTACAGAACTGGTCTGGGGACTGCACCCATTGCCATGTGGAAAATTACAGGCAACCAGTTTTGTTTACTTTGGGCTCTTTAAGTCCCAGACAGCGTAGATGATTGCTCTATAAAGTAGTATTCAATATGTGCTTACTGCCATCAAAGCAATAAAAAGTGAACAAAGCGGGGCATTCAAGCTTCGTCATCTAATCAGTTTTTCACCCTCCAACACTTCCTGCGCATCTAATCTTATCAATCGTTGTTTACTTCTCGAAAATGTCTTCAATAATAATTGATTTACCTGCAATTGCCATATTGTGCTAAAAATATCAATGAACTGCACTGCATGACTGATAATAACCTAATTAATTTAAATTTATTATATTTTGAGACGAATGTATTTAATGTATTTTCTCTTTTATTTTCAGGTATGTTAATGACGATCTCTGCATTCTTAGCACATTTTTGTAGTAAGTATAAATCTGTGCGTGGGACATACATATATTTATATGTGCTCCTATAGTTTGTGTCTATTAGCCTCTATTAGTCAGAGCTAAATGTTTTTACATAGCACAATGTGATTTATGGGGCAATGTATAGCCTTTTTAATAGCCTACTTTAAGTGGTGCTTTTTAAATAGGGGTTTGGTAACAATATTCAGCTAAGTATGCTATACAAATTATAAAATGTAGTTATCTAAAGAGGAAACCCAAATAATGTTCCTTTTTATTAGCTTTTATGATATATAGATACGTGTTTCTCCAATGGGATTCTTTAGTCAAATTTCGATTTATTGCGAATACGCCCCGTTTAAAAAATATAGTCTTAAATTTTTTGAGTAGGGAAGGTACGTTGTGGTTAACTTAACTACTAAGATAGAGCATATTTGGTAAAAGCTAAGTTTCTAAGAAAACTACCCAATTTTTCATTGTGCGAAAGTGTTCTCTTGCACATTATACAATATTACGTATACGCCTAGTAACCAACCATGATGAGGCATTAATTCTTTTGGCACAATTTCAACTTCCCTATCTAACTGCTCTATTTAGCCTTATCAACACAGAAGCCTTAGATTTTATTGGGTTTCGTTTTTATGACAAGAATCAGTCTAAGTTTGTCCCTTTGTCCCCTTTTCCCAGTTACGACCCACACGCACCGAAATTCAAATGTTTTCTTAGGGTTCTGAGCGTTTTGTTCTGAACATATATTCGCATAGCTGATTTTTATGGTTTGTTTATTTGACTATGTGGGTCATGCTCCACTTGTAATCAGAACAGCAGGGAATGGGATAGGATGGGACGGGCCCGCATATAAGCAATTAATGTCGGGGTGTCCTTAGAATGCCCCCTGAAAAACTAGCTATTCAGTTCGGAAGCACGGGAAATTCCTTCAATTCCTCCACTGACATTGATTTACCTTGTCATTGAAATTCCTTAGCAGGAAATTCTTTCATTCCTCCATGCAATATTGTACATTTTTTGTGGTATTTCGCTGCCATTGCCTTTCCAGGAAGCCTTGAGGAAGGACCTTTCAAATGGTTTCGCCTCGTTGATAATTTATAAATTGGTGTAATTATTTTGGCCAGCCGAGGAGAACTTTCAAAAAATGGGGACAGCTGAGAGGCACTTCTCTCTCTCTTTCTCTCTCTGGGTTTTTGGCCTATTGTGCAGGGTTCATTTCTGCACAGACACATGCAATCGCAGCCCATCTCTCTTCCACTTATTACAGATGATAACGATGAATCTATGTTTTTTTCCTTGTATTTTCTATATATACAAATATATCGTTGGGCTAGCACGCTTTCTTGGCCGATTTGCGCAGGCGTGAGAAAAGTGAGGGCCCCAAAACAGGAGCAGGTGTTATTTATGCTTCACCCAAACCCCTATGTGTTCTATATTTATGTATACATCAACAGAGAAAGAGAGAGAGAGCAGTAGAGAGATGTAAGGAAGGAAATTAAGATAGAAAGATAGAAAGGGCCCCTGCAGGCCAGAGCTAATTAGACGGAAACGAAACTCAAATTGCGAGGGAAAAACCAACGGAAAATTCAGATACAAATTTTCTTTTGGCGAGAGCTCGAAATTCACTTTCTTTGCGAAAATTGAGGCTCTCACGTGGCTCTCGCTCTCTCGCCTTTTCTGGCGAAAATGAACTCGCGCTTGCTCTCTTTCTGCACGGCTCTCTCCGTCTCTCTCATCTGCATGGTTGGGCGATGAACGCGCCACAAAAAGCTAGCAACAAAAAAAATCCTACCCTCAGTCAGTCAATCTACACTTTGGCTTCTTGCTAAACCAAACATAAAAACAAGCTGGCGAAATACAACATTTTGCAGCGTTGGAAAACATTAAAAATTCTCCAATAAAATTTGATAAAAGTATTTGCAAGAATTAAGTTCGTGTTTCATCGCTCGATTTCCACTGCTGTGCAGGAAAAGCCATTTTTCTGTTTCTTGTTTTTGTGGCAAACGCGGAAGTTTTCGCTGCTGTCGTCAGTCAGTCGTATTCGGACATCATCGCCGAGCGTTTGTGTGCGTTGAGGGTGCTTGGTGTGCGTGGCGTGTGTGTGTGTGAGTGTGCCTGCCACAAAATAAATCTACAACAATTTCAAGTTGTATAGAAAATAGAAAATAAAAAATAAATCAAAGCCAAACCAAATCAAAGTGTTTCAGCTGGTTATATAAAATCAGCGAGTAAACGGAATGAAAATTTGCATCTGAGCAATCAAAAAGTGAAAGAAAAGGCAGCTACCAAAAAATCTTTCATTCAAAACGCCTCGGTTGGTTTGAGTGTGTGCGTGTGTGTTGGCCTCTCTCTCTCGCCCTTACAACTCGCTCTCGCTCGCTCTTACTGCATAGATAATTTCTAGAATTTCGCGCCCATTTGTTAGTTCTCTTTTTTTTTCTCGTACGCGATAAAGTACCCAGAAAAGTTTACTAAAAGAATTACATCCAACACCAGTGACCAAAAAAGTATCATTCATGGAAAACAAAAACAATTTAGAAATCGCTTTTAATAACGGAAATATTTTTATTAAAAGGTAATGTCACCCAATTCTAAATTCTAATTATTTGTGCTTGTGTTGTTAGTTAATTCGTTTCGGCTTATGATTTCATTGTGTTGACCAGAACAAAATAAATGGCAAATTATCCAATTGAAAATATTCTTCACATCTGATCAACATTAAACGAACATCAAACATTTTTGAGCATTTCCGACTAATTGTTTAAGATTTTGAGAGGCATTTTGATGGGAATAGCTGCTTGGTTTGATGGTTGGGTGAGGTCAAAGCCTTGGATATTTGGGGGTGCACAAATATATACAATGTTCCTTGGCAAGGCAAAACTCAGGTGGCTTACCAGGGTTATCAAATCGGTGAAAAAAGTAGCAATCTATACAAAAAGAAGAATTTTTTATGTTGGAAACAGTTGGCATGCATTTGTTTGTTACGCATGACTGGTCTTTTGTGGAAAAATAAAGCAATATATGAAGTTAGTTTAAAAGTAAGCTAAAAGTACAAAAATAATTGTTAAACACACATATTGGAAGTTTTTCATTCATATGAACTTAAATTCATTACTGCTAAGACGTATTAAAAATATGTATTTCAATTTTAAGCAATGGTATCGACTATCATACCATTCTTTCTCTGAAACTATCCCCCCAACTATCTAAATTTCAAAATAATATCGAAACCAACCGCAAAAGGATCCCTTATATGCCATACCTAGTCCCTATAGTAAATATACCTCCCAATAGGGCACAACACTTCAAATCAATACAGGAAAAGACTAGTCATTGAAAAGGCAAACATTTAATCGCCTTGACTGGCGCTTTTCCTTCAATGTCACGGCGTCCTTAATGGGCCAATAAAAGTGTCCTTCTCCCCAAAGCCGAGCGGGCATTAATCAGAAATCAATAAACTAGGGAAACCAAATGGCAAATTCCCCTGGAAGTTAAGCGCAAAAAGTTTAATTGTGCAAACATGATTGAGGGCATTTCTACGAGAGCCAACGAAATCATTGATTTTTCTCTATCTTATGCTGTTTTCCCTTCTTGTTCTTGTGCTTTCCTTAACGAATCATTGTTGTTCTTTTGCCCACACAGACCATTTGAGGTTGTCAGCTTATTCGTGTTTGTTGTGGTGTGTTTGTTTCCCACGCATTCGTTTGGCTAAGACCACAGAAAGAACCCCACCCCCCTTTTGATTACGCAACTCTTACTTGAAAGTTGATTTTCATTCATTTCCTTGGCGTTCTTCCGTGGAATTCCCTTGAGTTTGGGCCCAGTTTCGTTATCGTTCTGCCAGCCACAATGGCGTCACGTCAACGCTGCGAATACGCAATATTTTGACTGGTGACCTCAACAAAGGGAGGTGGAGGTTAAACCGAAAGAACACGATGACACACACCCCGAAAATATTATCAACTTCTATTCGGCGAGAGCGATCTTTTTCGCTTGAATGCAACTTTGCCTGTAATTTGCCAATTTTGGTTATTCCAACCAAAACAATTTAATTTGAGATCTTTTCATGCTGATAATTTGATTTAAACTGCTTAGCATCATCATCAGCTGTACACGTCACAAATGTGAATGTATAGATAGAACATCTGGCTGGTTCATTTAATCGGCGGTTGCCTATTAAGCGGATCGCATTTTGTGCATCTCGTTTTTCGATTTCGAGTAAATGAATCTTGATGAACTCAGCCGGCTTAGAGCGGTTTTTGCCGGTATTCCGCGACTTTAATGATCTACTATTGATGGTTCTTTTATGTATTTATTGATTTATGATGGAATGATAAATCAATTGAATTGAAAAGTCGTTAAAAGAATTTGGCGGGGAAATTACTTTTACGGAACTTAATTGAGCACAAACTTTAATGAACCTTTGAATTAAGTCATCGGAAATAAATTAGAAATTGGTGTTTATTTTTGTGTAATTCGTTTAAGTGGCCGTTTTTTTTGTCTTATTTCTTAAAAATTAGCAGATTTTCTTTAAAGGTTTGAACAAATTGGACACCTTCCGTAGTTCTTATCGATATCTGCGTTTTTCATATATAGTTTCAGACGAACTGTTACTTTGTGAAAGTCTGAATTGTTTAAAACAAGCAAACATGACAAGATGTTTGGCTGGAATGGATGAGATGCAGTTGCTGACTTTCAGAAACTACAAAATAAACTTGGTCGGTGCCTTCGTGCTTTTAATAACTTTAAAGAACATTTTAGCCTTAAAACTTGCATACGTTTTTAAGTTTAAAATCTCCTTTCCATAAGAAAATTATTCCAAAACTATTATCTCCGTTGTTGCCATACAGCAATTGCCTAAACTGATCATTTGGGAAACTTGTGTACACAGAGAAAATTCTAACGTTCTCATCTAAGTTGAAAATGTTCTTAAGAATAGAACGACATTTTTAAATTGAAAATGCTTTTATTTTGCTCCAATCAAGTTGAATTGGCGGTATTTGCATAGTATATCTTAACAAATAAACTATTAGTCCAGTCAGTAGTGTATACTTATCAAAAAGTTGTTAAATAAACTCAAATTAACTTTTCTCTTCTCACCATTTCGTTCTAATATTGAGAACATTGATACCAAAATGTACTTACACGGTTTTAAGAACGAATGTTCTCAATTCAAGAACAATGTAGCAAATATTTAATTGGTTATAGTGCAGCTCGAAAAAGGCTCAATCATCAACCAAATTTAAATCTTTGTATTTTCTAAGAATGGTTAAATTTTTTGTCTAATCACACTTTTACAGTTCAGCCTTTTGAATGTGTTCCCAAGTGACACAATCAAATAGTAACTATTACTCCATAAATACCGCTAAAAACCCAGTTTCATATCAACCCATGATTTTTTTATACCCCACCCGTTAAAGTGGAAGTTTATAGCCCGAATGCAAAGCTATTTCGTAGACGCAAAGCCCTCGGACTGCTTAAATGCAGCTTACGTGATGAAATCGTTTTGGAAATGTTGACGTCCTTGGCAGCATTTTGCGGCAATTGTGAGTAGCTCAGTCGCTGAGTTGCAACTGGAGATGCCATAAAGTCAAGCGAAGCTGAGGGAAAACTATAAAATTTTATCATAAAATCAAGAGGGGGAATGGGGCGCAGAACATAGCGAAGCATCCGCCACGACCCACTTTTGCACCCACACAATCACTTCGAGCATTTCATGCTGTATCTGTGTAAATGTATCTGAGTCTGCTGCTGATTGTGGGCTGTATCTGTGTTCGCCCGCCAGTATCTGTATCTGCATCTCCATTTGTATCTGGGCGAAGCAGTTGCAACAAAGAACCAAACTAAACTCAAATAACAGCATGTTCAGGTTTCGTATTTTTCTGTTGGCCCATTCACAGGGAGATAGCTCGAAGAGGGGGCGAAAGCAGCCAACCCACCCCTCGTTTGCCCCACATGGCGCAATTTTCAGGTCAAGGTCAGGTCTAGTGGTGTGCAACTGTATGTGTGTGCTTTTGTGGCAAAAACGATTTCGTTGTATTTTTTTCTTTTTATTTCCCCTTTTTCCCAAGCAAGTAATGCGCTTTTGGAAAGTTGACGAGTCCTTCGCCCGATCCTTGTCCGTACTTGCTTTTTTCTGTTTTGTTTTCCATAGCTCAATGACGCGTACACATACACACACTTAAAAAGACCCGCACACAGATACTTTGCATAATTCAATTTTACACTGCGTGTGTTGCGCTTAAATACGCATAAATATAGGTACTAAAAGACGGGGAAATGGAGGACAGACGAAGGAGATTTCGACTCCTCGCTGACATTGTTCTATGAAGTGCATAAATTTTACGCTCAAGTGATTTTTATTGTGCTCCTTGGAAGGGCACGATATTTGATTATGGCAGTACATTTCGGAAAGAAAAATATATGTCTGTCTTCGATTTTGAAAATCTTTCTTACAATTTGAATGGGTATTCCTTGTTTACGAATAAATTTATTATTTTTGAATATAACTAGATAATATTAAGATAGTTAAAAAATACTTTAACATTAAACATTCTCTTTAATTTATTTCTTTTCTCGAATTGTCGTTTAAAATACTTTTTACTTAATACTACAATTAAAGGATGGGTTCATATTCTGAAATGATAGCTTTTAAGTTTAAATTTCAAAGGAAAAGCATTTTCACAGCATCCAAAATTTGTTAGACATGATTAGTAATTATAAGTTCAGGGAAGACAGGATTTTAGAAAATGTATTTAAAATGCATTTATGCTTTATAATGTTTTGAAAAGATACTTTTCGTTTTTTTAAATAAATTTTTAAATAAATTATGAGCCAAGTAAGTAATCAGCTAATATTTTCGGCTTGTTTCCTTTCCAAGCCCATTTAATATGTGCCAAGATTCCCCAAGCTAAACCTGATGAACTAGGCCTTCCATCACTGTAATCTCCCATTACTGCCGCGCATTCCATCTGATGTATCAAAGCTCACTGGCCCCCAGCACGTGCTTAGCGAAACAAAAAATCCTTGCCAAACATCCATTCAACCATTGTGTTGACTACCTCAGAAATTATGCCCCTACAATGGGACTCGAGCATAAGACTTGCAGTTCATTTTCATACAGAGATTTTATTTTCTTGTTTCGCGCTGTGCTCTGTGTTGTTTTGGGTTCCATTATGAAAACGCTTTCAAGGCGAAATGGTTTTTGTGTTGTTTCATGCTGGGCGCCGTGTGTCAGTTTCAATTGAGTGGGGGATGTGAATGTGAATGGGAATGTGAACGAGTTTGTTCTTTGGCAGAGCGACTCAAGGTTTTCCACCAACTCTGTAGAGGAAAATACTTGGCATGCTGGTGCCCCAAACCCGACCTCTCCTTCCGAGGGCTCAGAAGTGTGGACCCTTGACAAAAAAAGTACTTGGGCCGCCTCTCTGGTACGTGACTGGTCGACTCGGGTTGTGTGGGCACGGGGAAGTCAAAGTCAGGGTCGGGTAACATCGTCGTTAGGGCCTCAGCACTTGACTGTATTAAAAAACCTAAGCGTATGATATCGCACAAAAATATATAAATAATTCTGTCGAGTGCGTTTTAACCTTCGTACTCTCGGTTCGGGTGATTAAAAATGCTAATTAATGTGTGTAGCACATCAATTTTAGTCACACTGTATTTCGGGGCCTGCTTTTTAGTAATGTTTCTCTGGGGAGGCATCTTTCGTCCCTCATTATGGCTGGAATGTCTCTGCTTTTTGCTTATCGCATCTTAAACAAGTTGTTGGACAGTTGTTGACACACAAGTGCCTCCAGCCGGAGCTGTCATACTTCTAGCCAAACTGTCAACTAGCTGTCAACAGGCGCCATTTGTTGCACCCACAAAGGCTGGGGGGAGCTGGAATAAAATGGGAAACCGGCGACCCAGTGCCTGACTAACTTTTGCATCAGAGACATATTACATTTTTGTACCACTTGACAGGCGGCCGGCGCAATATCTTTGGCTAAACAAAACGGTGGCCCACTCTCAAAACTAAAAACTAAAATTGTCGTGAAAAGGGAAGATCATATTTCCGGCACTGCAGTTTGGCTTTTCTTTCGAAATTATCCTTAGTCACTTTAAAAATTGGGTTCTTTTTACACTGTGTGGGATGTAAATATCTTTTAATTAAACAAGCTTCTTCACTCTTCTTTCGAAACTTTTACTTGTGCTTGCAAGTATAAACGGTTGTGCCACAAAAATCACAACAGTTTTAAAATCCCTAACTATGGTGCCTAAAAGTATGCAACAACGTATAATTGGTAAATGTATTTGGCAACAGACTATTGGAATTAAATCATACCTTTCAATCTTATACACATTTTAACAGGTTCCTAAGATATTGATTAAATTTGATTGCAATAAGTTTTTAAAAGGAAATATAAGTGGAAACATTATACATTGCTGTACATGTAGTGTTGGGACATAGAACTTCTAAACAAATAATAGCAAATAAATTATGAAAACAGAAATCCGGTAGTCGAAATTGTTGAGTAACCCACCCAATTGTTTCTGTTACTGCATCTCGCATGCTCCCTCATCCGCTTCACTTGTGTTATGTAAGCGTTGCTCATCTCCCGTTTGTACGAGTGTGTTTTTGTTGTGCGAGGCATGCAACAAAATGCCTTGTGGCATGTCAGAGCTCTGCGAATGTTAATTAAATAGTTTACTCCACGCTGAAACTTCGCTCTTAATAATGACACACGCCAAACACCCACACAATCACCACCACTAACACCACAACACTCGACAAATTGCAGCTGAAACAGAAATTAATGGAAATTGGCAAAGTTTCAAATGAAAGCAACATACAATTTGCCAATTGCTTTTGTGATTTAAATTATGGTTTTTTGGTTTAAGTATTTTTGTATGACTATTGCAGAGTTTCAAACATTTTTATTAAGGCTGAAAAAAGTTAAAGGCTACTTAGAAAAGATTTTAAACTAAAGTGTAACATTTTAAAATATTCTGCTCTTCATCTGCTAAAATTTGCGAAGTATATCTTATTTCTTAATAATACTTAATTCAAGGTTATTGGAAGAGATTTGTAACCAAAATGTAACATTTTATAATGTCCTACTCCTCGTCCGTTTAAAGTTGCGATATATAACTAAATTCTACCGCAATCAAATGTATCTATCATGTAAAATTAAGATACAGTCAATTTTTACTTAAACTTTCAGTTATTAAAATATAATTAATACAAGTTACTATACAAAATTCGTATGCAAAAATTTTGCATCCGGATA